GGGATGGACATGAGGAAGAGGTAACTATGGGGAGGAAGTGGGAGGGGAGCTGTTGCATTGTGGTAAATTATAGTCGATGTCATGAGACAAAGTGTATGTGAACTGCTGTATGGAAAGTGAATTTGCTCTGTAAACTTTCACCCAAATCACAATTAAAAAAAAAAAAAAAAGGTACAGCAGTATATTGACAGAGAACTTCCAGAGGTGCAAGCCAGATTCAGAAAAGGACATGGAACAAGGGATATCATTGCTGATGTCAGATGGATCTTGGCTCAAAGCAAATCATTCCAGAAAGATGTTTACTTATGTTTTATTGACTATGCCAAAGCATTTGATTGTGTGGATCATAACAAATTGTGAATAACATTGAGAAGAACAGGAATTCCAGAACACTTAATTGTACTTATGAGGAACCTGTACATAGACCAGAAGGCTGTCGTTCGAACAGAACAAGGGTACACTGCATGGTTTAGAGTCTAGAAGGGAGTGCGTCAAGGGTTGTATCCTTTCATTCAATCTGTATGCTGAGCAAGTAATCCGAGAAGCTGGACTATATGAAGAAGAACGTAGCATCAAGATTGGAGGAAGAATCATTAACAACCTGCGATACGCTGACAACACAACTTTGCTTGCTGTAAGTGGGGATGACTTGAAGCACTTAGAAGATTGAAGACTACAGTCTGCAGTATGGATTACATCTCAATATAGAGAAAATAAAAATCCTCACAACTGGACCTATAGCAGCATCACGATAAATGGAGAAAAGATTGAAGTTGTCAAAGACTTCACATTGCTTGGTTCTACAATTGACATCAGTGGAACTAGCAGTCAGGACATCAGACGACATATAGCACTGGGCAAGTCGGCTGCACAAGACCTCTTTCAAGTGCTGAAGAGCAAAGATGTCTCCTTGAGGACTAGGGTGTGCCTGACACAAGCCATGATATGTTCAGTTGCCTCATATGCATGTGAGAGGTGGACAATGAATAAGCAAGATCGAAGAAGAATTGATGCTTTTGAGTTATGGTGCTGGCGAAGAATGCTGAAAGTACTATGGACTGCTAAAAGAACTAACAGGTCTGCCCTGGAGAAAGTGCAGCCAGAATGCTCCTTGGAAGTGAGAATGGGCAGACTTCATCTCACCTACTTTGGTCATTTTATTAGAAGGGACCATTCCCTGAAGAAGGATGTCGTGCTTGGTAGCATGGAGGGTCAACAAAAGAGGGGAAGGCCCTCAGCGAGATGGATTGACACGGTGGCTGCAGCAGTGGGCTCAAGTGTAGCAGGGATCGCGGAGCTGGGGCAGGAGCAGGCGGTGTTTTTTGCTGTGCATAGGGTCGCTATGAGTCGAAGACGACTTTATGGCACCTAACAAGAACATATATAATTTATATAAAAATGTATATAATACGTTTATGTCACTAATCAGGTTGAATGATATAAATAGTTTTGTAATTCTTCATATGCTGTTAGACTGCTCTGAACAAAGATGAACCCATTTATGTCACCATCAGCAATATCTCTATTACCACATATCCTAGCAAGAGGGGGAATGAGTAATCCAGGAGGGAGCAAGAAGGAAGTTGCAGTGTCTTTTATAACCTAACTTTAGAAGTCACACATCATCATTTCTGCAACATCATTTTGGTTACTAAGGTCAGGTCTATCCAGTGTGGAAGGGGGCTACAAAAGGGTGTGAATTCCAAGAGGCATCATTGCAGTTTATCTTGGAGGCTGTCTATCACGATCTGCCCTTTGTTCCCTAATGAGTGACATTCTGCCATATGCAGAATATATTCACTCCTATTAGCATTTCAACACAAAATCCACATTCTTGTCATGTAAAATTAGGTCAGGTGTGAATTTATATTCCTCAGGTGAGATTCTTTAAGTACAGTTCCTTGCTCCCCCACACACACCCAACATACTTTGGTGGAACAAGCATAGGATAACCCTGGTAGATACTCCCTTTCATAAAGGTGGAAAATGGAAGACACACGGGAGTCAGTAGTCCGTACAGACTCTTTTAAAAACAAAACAGGGATTACATTACTAGTGGCCATCAAGGCGGTTCTGACTCATGGTGACTTCATGTGTTTCAGGGAACTGCATTTCATAGGGTTTTCATGCTGTGACTTTTTAGAAGGTCACTAGGTCCCTTTTCCAAGATGCTTCTGGGTGGGTTCAAGCCACCAGTCTTCTCCTTAGTAACCCAGTATTTGCCCCAAGGACCCTGGGATCACATTATATATATTTTATTGTTCTCTAATATAACCATAGGAGCTCTAGTAGCATCGTGCCTAAGCACTTGACTCTAACCAGAAGGCTAGAGGTTCAAACCCACCAGCCACTCCTTGGAAGGAAGGTTGGGCAATCTACTTCCATAGTGATACTGCCTTGGAAACCCAAGGAGGAATCACTGTGAGTCGGGTCTGACTCCATGGCACATAACAACAACAATAATATAACCATATTTTGTGGCCTTGTTTCTATTTCAGTATTTTAGACGTGCCTCATTTTTTTTTTCCCTATTTGCAGCACATGTAAATACATATGTAGAGATATCCTCAGTCAAACCTGTAGGCCCATTCACTTTCCCACCCCGTTCAGCTTGAGTATCTATGTATCCACTCATAGATTATCGTTAGTATTGTTGTTGCGGGATTATGTGTGCAATGGTATTCACCTTTGTTGCCTTTAACTCTTGTGCTCCTCCCTGTGCCTTCCTCTACCTTAATAATTTAGTGCTGACTTTCCCCTCATTGCATTCTGCCTTCCCTTTCACCCAAGTTAGTTTGTGTGTACCCTCTAGTTAGTAATTCCTCCTTTCCCCCTCCCACTCCCGGTTAACTTCAAAGAATAATTCTTTCTGTGTGTAAACCTTTTCTTGACTTTGTACAGTAGTGGTCTCATACAGTATTTGTCCTTTTGTGATTGACTAATTTAATTCAGCATAATGTCCTCCAAGTTCATCCACGTTATGCGGTGTTTTGCAGATTCTACATTATTCTTTAGCGTTGCATAGTATTCCATTGTGTGTATGTACCATAGTTTGGTTATCCATTCCTCAGTTGATGGACATCTAGGTTGTTTCCATGTTTTGGCTATTGTAAATAGTGCTGCGATGAACATCGGCGTGCATATATCTGTTCTTGTCATGCATGGCTCTCACTTCTCTAGGGTATATACCTAGTAATGGGATGGCTGGGTCAAATGGTATTTCTAATTCCAACTTTTGAAGGAATCGCCATACTGCTTTCCACAATGGTTGTACCATCATATGGTATTTCTATGTCCAACTTTTTAAGGAAGCATTATACCGCTTTCCATAGTGGTTGTGTCATTTTACAGTCCCACCACAAGTGTGTGAGGGCTTCAGTCTTTACACCCTCGCAAGCATTTGCAGTTTTCTCTTTCTTTGAACTTTGCTATTAATTCTGAGGTGAGTTGTTATCTCGTTGTTTTGATTTGCATCTAGTGGGTAATGATTGTAAGCATTTTCATGTGTTTGTTACCTGCCTGAATGTCTTCTTTGATAAAGTGTCTGTCTATTCATATACTCTGCATGTTTTTTTATTGGATCATTTGTCTTTTTGTCGTTCAGGTGTTGAAGTTTTCTGTAATTTAGAAGTTAGACGTTGTCCGTTTGTTGTTGAATGTTAAGATTTTCTATATATTTTAGAGGTAAGACCCTTAACAGACATATTGTTCCCAAAGATTTTTTTCTCTAGCCTATAGGTAAGAGAGTACTTTCTTAAAATATCCATAAAACCAAAAAAATACACTGCCATTGAGTCTATGACTAGTGAATTTTCAGTCCTATTTTTGTTTTGTTTCTACAACCCTCCATTTCTTTGTGTATTTTGTTGATTGAGATATATAGTGAAATTCATTCTTTTTAGGAGTATAGTTCTATGCATTTTGACAAACTTGTATAGTGTACAGTCATCACCACACTCTAGATAGACTATTTCCATCATCCTAAAAAGGTTCCCTGTAACCCTTTGTGGCCAATCCCTTCCCTCCACTTCTAGTCCTTGCAAACCACTGATCTGATTTTTTTCCCTATAGTTTTATCTTTTCCAGAATGATGTCATGTGGATCTTAGAACATGTAGTCTTTTGAGCTCTTTAGAGTGGCTCATCTCACTTAGCATGATGCTTTTGAGATTCAGCCTTGTCATTGCACATATCAGTAATTACCCACTGCCATCAAGTTGATTCCGACTCATAGTGACCCTCTTTGGATTTCCAAGGCTGTAAATCTTTACAGAAGTAGATTGCCTCATCTTCCTCCCACAGAGCAGCTGGTAGGTTTGAACCAGTGACCTTCTGGTTAGCAGCCAAATGCCTTACCCACTACGCCACCAGAGCTCCTTATATTTGGTAATTAGTACCTTTTTAATTGCTGAGTAGAATTCCATTGAGAGGTCTGGAGGCGTAGTGCCTAAGGTATTTGACTACTAACCAGAAGGCTGGTGGTTCAAACCTACCAGCTTTTTCTCAGAAGGAAGATTGGGCAATCTATTTCCGTAGAGATGCCAACTCAGAAACCCAAGGAAGGGTCGCTATGAGTCTAATCAACTCAGTGGAAGTTAGTTTTTTTTTTAGTTTCCGAATTCCGTCATATGCATATACCAAATCCATTAATATTTGATGACAAGATGGATTGACAAAGTGGCTGCAGCGATGGGCTCAGGAATAGCAAGGATCGTGAGGATGGCACAGGACCAGGCAGTGTTTTGTTTTGTTGTACATAAGGTCACTGTGAGTCGGAGACGTCTCGATGGCACCTAACAACAACATTTCATGCCTTTCTCAGAATTGAGTAGTTTGAATAACTTTATGTTCACAAGGTAAGAATTTTTAAACTTTTAGAGGAAAAACAACTTTTACTTATAAATAAAAATTTAGGTAAAATGAAGATACCACAAAATATTCTTTTCCTCTTGTTCAAAGCCATTTATGGTCTTTTCCTTTTATCCCTCTGTTTTTTGGTAGATATCAATTGGCAGGTACGGGCCCCTTTATCAGGACTTTCTGCTCTTGGCAAAATGTCTTTCAGCAAGGAGCTTCATTTTAACACTTCCATTGCTAACTTGGTCATCCTTCGTGGGAAAGATGTGCAAAGTGCAGATCTAGGTAAGCAGAAGTTAAGATGAAAATTAAAATGCACATTTTACATAGATGATGATATAAAGGATCCCTGAATTTATTTTTTTTTTCTTTATTTTTCTTTTTTATTAGGATTTGGGTGAAGATTTACAGAGTAAATTCACTTTTCATACAGCAGTTCACATATACTTTGTCTCATGTCATTGACCAAAA